GAAGAACGTTCTGCGCCCCTGGTGGGTAGGCGGACCCGCCAAGCTGCTGTGTTGCTGAAATTGCCTACCCTGTTTCCTTAATGTGTCTGTGTACCGTTCGTCACCTTTGTCTGCCCCTCGGAGGGTCCGCAAAAATCGGGGAAAAATCCAGGGTGTCCCTGGGGGTGCCCCGAGGGCGCGGGGCCCCCAGGGACTTAACGCCTCGCTGAGCCGACGGCTGGACACGAATCTGCTCGCGTCCAGGCGTCGCCTGGGAGTGTTGTAAATTCGCCAGAGTCGCTGGGAGGGTCCGCAAAAATCGGGGAAAATTCAGGGGAGGTCCCAGGGGTGTCCTCTAGGCGGCCCGGGGGTGGAGCCGCCCCGGCGGCTCCGCGCGGGGCCCCCAGGGACTTAACGCTTCGCTGAGCCGACGGCTGGACACGAATCTGCTCGCGTCCAGGCGTCGCCTGGGAGTGTTGTAAATTCGCCAGAGTCGCTGGGAGGGTCCGCAAAAATCGGGGAAAATTCAGGGGAGGTACCAGGGGTGTCCTCTAGGCGGCCCGGGGGTGGAGCCGCCCCGGCGGCTCCGCGCGGGGCCCCCAGGGACTTAACGCCTCGCTGAGCCGACGGCTGGACACGAATCTGCTCGCGTCGTCCAGGCGTCGCCCTAAGTGACCGTCATTTTCAGGAGTATGACTCGTTGGCTGAGGCACCCCAAGCCACATCCACACCTAAGAGCCTCAATGCGACCCGGCCGGCAAGCCCACCGCCAAGCCTGGAGCCTGTTGCTGCCGGCGAAGACGAGCTGGCCGTAGAGGTGTGTGTGTGTGTGTGTACGCGCGCGTGCGTACAGGCGTGCGTGAGTGTGCGCACAGCACCCTGTGCACCCCCTACTAGACCGTCCCACGCTTGCAATTTTTTTTGAGCACACTGGATTACTGGGCAGATTTTGATTCTTTGTCGAAAAATAAGGTTGACGTGTCTGAGGGTTTTCGAATTTTTGATAAGTTTAGACACTTTTGTTCCCCACTAAAAGTACTCTAAAGTCGCTCTAAATCGTCTCAGATGAACGGGGGAGGTATCGTTGGATTCATTGGACTCTATTGTACATGAAACCACCGCGCCCGAGCCCCTGCGGTTGATTGCCTTCCTTCCGGGGGCCCGGCAATGCTCCAGTGTACCCAAAATAAGCCGTTTTCCGGGGTTAGCCGGGCTCCAGAATCGGCTGAGAGCTCCTCCGGATGCGTTTTCTGGTCGGGATGTGTTGGTAAAGTGCACGCCTACGCTGGGGAACTGCGGCTGGC